CAAAAGCGCCTGCCTGGCAAGCGCAAGGTCGTGAGTTCAGTTCCTGGTACCGGAGAAAAACCAAAAAAAAAAAAAAAAAAAAAAAAAAAAAAAACCATACTAAGCAAGTGCTCTATCACTGAGCTAAACCTCCAGCCCCCATCCTCAGCATGTTTGCCATCACTATATGTAGTGTCATTATGTACTCAATCTTTTACTTTAAATCAACCTAATTTTAAATAATAACCTGGCCATGAGGTAGAAGATATATTTTTCCTACTATGTAGTAAGTTAAATATATACCCAGTATGATTTAAAGTGCCAATGTACCATCATAAATCATCCCATGGCAGTATATATCAAACATGGGAAAAGACAGAGCTAGTGATTATATGAACTGGCAGCTCAGGAGGGGGTTCAGGTCTTAGAGACTCACTCTACACTCAGGTTCTTAGGATTCCTAAATTGCATCATATTTCTTCCAACTCCTCACACTGTGTTGTTTATGCGTGAATTGCCCCTAAGGTGGATCTAAATTTCTGGAGCCTAAGAGGAACCGTCTTTCTCTGCACAAAACCCATGATTTAAAGCCACCTTTCAGATACTGGAGTGAGGATGCTCGACTGGGAGAGTTAGGGTCTTTATTTTATGTTCCAGTTTGGCCCCGCCTTTTGCCAGCTGTGTGACCTTGAGCCTGTCCCTTCCCCACTTGGACCCTCAGTATGCCCAAATATAAAATAAGCAGATCCATTCTAAGGGAACTTTAAGGTCTCTGTGCTCTCAAGTTCAATGACTCTTTGACCTGCAGATCCTACAGCCGGGCTGAACCCATCAGCTCCCCTTTTCAGCAGACTGTAGAAGGGAGGGGGATGCTGACCTTCCCTCTTGCTGCCCTTATACCAAATCTGCCCAAGGCCCTTTGCTTTCAGTGCACAAAGCTCCTTTTGTTGCTGAGGCAGTCAGGGCTTCTCTCCAGGCTCCTGCTGAAGTGGCTAAGGCAACCTGGGGGGTAATAGTTTACCTGTAACAAGAGCCTCTGCTTCCAACCCCACTGGCTCCAGCCTGGCTGCAACCTTGGCCTTCACACCAGACAGTGTCCATCGGCTGCCCGAGACCCCTCCTCCAGCTCTGAGGGGTGGTAGGACCTATTTTAAAGGCAGAAAATAGAAACAAATTCATTTATTTAAATCCATTCATTTGAGATGCTATTGAGACTGAGGAGAGCAGTAGACTAAAACACTAAGTATATGAAAATCATCACCAATATAATTCAAAGTGTTTCCTTTTTTAAAAAAGGACCAGATTATTCTTATAACTAATTCTGGACAGATCTGGTCATTTAACATTTGCTATTTTATGAAGAACTTGCAAGGCGTGGCATATCTGAATTCTTTACAGATATTCCACCCAGCAACTTGGACCAATGTAAAGATCTACGTAGTTAGAAAGTATCTAGAATTGATTATCATTTGAGATAGGAAATCTTGCAATTATGATGTACAGTGAATTCAGTCAGTGCAAAAATACCGGGCTTTGAATTGAGAGACCTAGGATCTACTCTCCTCTCTGCTCTTATCTCCTTCTGTGACCTTGCCTCCCCTCCATGGGTCTTAATTTCATTCCAAAAAACAAGAAGGTTGAATTAGAAGGTCCCAAGATCTGCATTTCACTCCATATCACCCCCTGTCTCCCACCTTCTTCTCCCTTGCTGGAAATCAGACTTAAAGGAGGGGTTAGGGTCAACGGAAAGGGTAATTTCAAGATGTCCTTTAAGGTAGAGGAAGGTTTCCAAGGACTGTGGAAGAGAGCAAGGGCTTTCCTTGGGGCTAAAGGGTCTGGGAAGCCCAGATTTGCAGTTACTGCTTTCAGAAGTTCAAAGTAGAGTGAAGACCAATCTTGCAGATTAAGTC